CTTCCGATCTGAAGGGAATCATACAGTCTGTGTCCAGCAGGCCCTACTCAATCGATGGGAACTTTCCCCAACTTACCAAGGGTCTCTAGTACCCGATCCAACAAAATTAAACCAGCGGATTAGTCACTATAATTCACTCAAAGTAATCATCCTGGTTCACTTAACTTCACTTAATTTTCTGACGCCTCCTTTGGAGATGATAGTCCTTCCCGCAATACTAGAGGCGTACATTGCGACTCAAATGTATACTCCTTTTCCCCTGAAACGGGGTAGGCGTGGCATTTGAACATGGCATAGGATGGGTTACTCGTGGGATATTTCAATTTGAGACAACTGTCATCTTGTTCTGTGTTGGACAAAGACATGATTTCACCTACCCAGAATGAAAATGTCTCAAGAAAACCCTACCCCGCCACCTTAATTCAAGTGCGCAACCACGCCTATCGCGTCTCAGGTATTCTGAGTGAAGTGAGGAAGGCGCCACCCACCGCAACAGAGTCACCGCCCCGCCCACTGGCCACCGCGGCCACACGGTGACAGGAGTAATGCTCCTGCACATCACACCCTGCGTCCATCTTTGTCCATCCCACTTCACTCATGCCCTCGTGGGTCTTCATCCATCAGCAATCATAGCAAGTCAAGCCCACACTAACCTCCCGCCTCACTTTCCCTTCATCGAACAATTTTTCTCGGAAAAGGTCTCTTCTTCACTAATCAAGAATCTTCCCTTTAAGCAAGATATAATATTTTTCAGGTCGACAACATTATCCACGCACCTGGTTACTTGACCGTACACTGTCAGTCTGATGAGCAAATCGGTGTCACCCTGATTCTCCAATGGTTGCCAAATTCAACACTTCAGAAAAACCCTGCAAGGTACTGCATATTATCCATTACTCATACCTACAGTCATATGTCTCTATTATAACGTACTTGGTTTGTTTGAGTATACGAAGTGTATCGCCACGAAATTCGGCAAAAAACGTCTCTAAACCTGCATTACCAGTCAGAGTCCAGGTACGGAATTAGGTCGGAATTACAGAGTTCACACAATGTTGGCACTGTTCGGCTTGGCGGGTGGGATAAGGGCAGAACGTTTCATGGCATTCAGAACCATTCCTGTTGACGCTTAGAATTCCGCTTCGGAAAGTGCAAGTATGACTGTGAGCCCGGAGATTGGGTGTTGCCTAGGCATATGGGGAATGAGCTACTGGGGTGGGTGGTAGATCCGAATGCTTCGTGGAGAAATGGTTTTCCCTGTTCATGGAAGCTGTTTCACCTAATCCAGAACCTTCCAAGGCTTCGCCTCTAACATTTCTTTGGTAAGGGTGCCTTCATACATTGCGGCAGCGTCCACTAGCATCCACTAGCGTCCCGAAGCCTTCGACAGCGTTTGCGACTAGGAAAGTGTAGATATCGATTTAGCGTCTATCAGCGT